GTTTGGGCCAAGTCCGACGCGGTCGGTGCCCAACGCGGTTCCCACTCGGCAGCCGCGGGGTCCCCGCGGGGCTGCGAGCGCCGCCCGCGTCCCCCCTGCCCGCTCCCGGACGCCTGGGCCCTCTCCCCTTCCCGGGCTCGGCGGGGGGCGGGCGCCCCGCGCCCCCCTCCCCCGGAACGAGCCTCTTCCCGACCCTCGGCGACCTGTTCCCGGCCGCGCGCCCGGGCTGGGGCCGGGCCAGCCCCGGCCAAGGGGAGGCCGCGCCCCCCCCGGGGCCTCCCCCCGGCCCCGCTGCACCCAGCGCCCTGCCCGGCCCCCCGGGGCTGCTCGGGGGCCCCCCGGGGCCCCGCGCTGACGTGAGCCGGGATTAGCAGGTCCCCGAGAGCCCGGGCGGGCACCGGCGCCGTTCCCGGGGCTCCCGCCGGGCCCTTGACCTTTGCAGCCATTCCAGGAGCGGGAGAGCGGCCTGTCCCGTCCCTCCCTCCCGGCGGCCCCGGCGCTTAACCCTTTACCCCTCCGCGCGCCCCGCTCGGTCGGGCACGGGCGCCCGCAGCGGGAGGCCGGAGCCGCCGCTCCTTCCGCCCCGGTGCACGGGGCCTGGAGCTGCTGACGCTTCCCGCAGGCCTCCCGCCGGACACGGTGCTGGGGCGCCCGGGCGCCAACGTGACGCTGAGCTGCGGGGCGCCCAATGACACCGTGTCCTGGGAGCTGGAGACGCGGCGGGGCCGCCGGCGGGCGCAGGGGGAGCCGCTGGAGCTGCGGGCGCTGCGGCGGGACGACGCCGGGCGCTACCGCTGCAGCGCCGACGGGCGCCCGCCGCGCACCCTGCGCCTGCTCGTGCAAGGTGGGTGCTGGTGCCACGATGGGGACGGCCACCCCGCAGCAATGGGGACGGCCACCCCACCGCCACCGACACCTCCGTGACCCGCAGAGCCCCCCGAGGCGCCGCGCGTCTCCTGCCGCCGGCGCAGCCACGACCGCGACGTCCTGTGCGAGTGGCGGCCGCGGCAGCCGCCAGCCCCCGGCACCAGGGCCACGCTCTGGGTGAAGCGCCGGTGAGCGGGGACACGGGCGCTGCGGGGATCCGACGGGACCGGGGCTGCAGGGGTCCCATGGGACCGGGGCTGGGTGTTGCTGCATCCCGGCCCTGGCTGAGCCKCCCTCCCGCTGCAGCTTTGCCGTGGCCAACGGCACGGAGCAGCGATGCCGCTACTTCGTCCGGGGCAGCAAATTCGTGTGCCGGCTGCGGGTGCCCGCGGGCACGGACGAGCACGAGCCGCTGGCCGTGTCCACGTGCGTGCGGGACGGGGCCGGTGGCGCCGCCGCCGCCACCACCGTCATCACACTGAGCGGCGTCCGTAAGTGCCAGCAGCGCCCGGGCCGCGCCGCGGCGCCGTGCGCCCGGCGCCACCGGCCCGTGTGCCCGCAGTGCAGCCCGAGCCGCCGCGCAACGTGACGGTGCTGCCGCTGGAGCGGCGCCCGCGGCGCCTGCGTGTCACCTGGGCCTACCCGGCCTCCTGGGACCCCCGTTTCTACTGGCTGCGCTTCCAGGTGCGCTACCGGCCCGAGCCCGCGCCCGCCTTCACGCAGGTGAGCCCCGCGCCACGGCGCCGCCGCCGCCACCGCCGCCGGCGCCGCTGCCACCGTGGTGCCCGTTGCAGGTGGACCAGGTGACGGAGACGTGGCTGGAGATCGCCGACGCCTGGGGCGGCACCCGGCACCTCGTGCAGGTCCGGGCGCGCGAGGAGTTCGGCCACGGCGCCTGGAGCGAGTGGAGCCGCGAGGTGGCCGGGACCCCCTGGATAGGTACCGGGGGGACACCGGGGACATGGTGGGGGCCAAGCAGGGCGGGGGGGGCACTGCGGCCTCACGCCCCCTCCTGTCCCAGATCCGGCGGAGCTGGCAGCGGAGGCGGCACCTTCACTGGTAGGACGGGGCCGGGGCTGGGCCRGGGGGCAGCGCCGCGGTGCCCCCCGTCCCAGCGCACCCCCACACCCGGCAGCTCCCGGAGGAGGACGGTGCCGACGGGGTGACGCTGCCCCCCGAGCTGCTGGAGGCTGCAGCCCCCCCCGCCGGCGGGGACCCCCCAGGGACCCCGGCCGCCCCTTTGGTGGCACCTGCGGCCGGCGCCAGCCTCGCCCTGGGCACCGGCCTCTTGGTGGCCATCGCGGTGCGGTGAGTGCCGGGGGGGACAGGGACGGGGGGGGTGGCTCCGGGCCCCGCTCCGACACCCTCCGTCCTGCAGGTACCGGCGCAGACAGCGGGGGCGCCGCGGGGGGGCCAAGGCGGGGGCCGCGGGGCAGCAGGTGCTGCTGCCCCTGGCCCCCCCCAGCCCCCCGGGGCCCTTCCACGTCGCCAACCCCGACTACTTCATCCCCTCGGGCCCATAGCCCTGGTGGGGGGCACCGCGGGGCCCCCATGGCCGCAGTGGGGCAGTGCCCCCCCCAAACACCCCCCAATAAACTCTTTATTTTTAAGGTGCTGCTTGCGTGGTGGAGATGGGGGGCACCGGCCCCACGCTCCTCGCCCCACATTGTGCAACCGCGCGGGCRGCCGCAGCTGCAGGAAACCGCAGGCAGGGGCGGCGGGTGCCCCCCGGGGCCGCCCCGGYGCTATAAAAAGCGGCGGCAGGATGCAGATGTGCACGGGGCGCCCGCGGGGCACCCGCATCCGCCCTCCCGCCCGTGCCGCCGCCACAGGCCGCCTGTCCCCGCYGCGGCTCTTTGTCACCCACGGCCGGTGCAGGGGCCCCATGGGGGCCACACAGGCGCGGGCGCCCCAGCCTGGCCCTGCTGAGTCCTGTCCCCTCCCCGGGGACCGGCTCGGCCCTGCCGGCTGTTTTCCTGGGCGCAAAGGGCCCCAACCTGCTGCCAACATCCGCCCGGAGCCATGAGGTGCCCGGGGCCGCGCAGGGGCCGCGTCCCAGATGCCTGGGTGTGCAAGGGGCTCCGTGCACGGCCCCGCAGCCTGCGTGCAGGGTGCTGTGTGTAGGTGCTGCATGCAGGGTGCTCCATGCAGCGTGCTGCATGCAGGGTGCTCCATGTAGGGTGCTGCATGCAGGGTGCTCCACGCAGGTGCTGCGTGCAGGGTGCTGCGTGCAGGGTGCTCCATGCAGGTGCTGCATGCAGGGTGCTCCATGCAGGTGCTGCATGCAGGGTGCTCCATGTAGGGTGCTGCATGCAGGGTGCTGCATGCACGTGCTGCATGTAGGGTGCTCCACATAGTGCTCAGCACCCTAGTGCAGGGTGCTCTGTCCAGGGTGCCCCGTGCACAAGCCTGGGTGCTCAACACCCTATCGCAGGGTGCTCAGCACCCTTGTGARGAATGCTCCATGCAGCGTGCTCCATGCAGGGCACTCTGTGTAGTGCTCAGCATCCTAATGCAGGGTGCTCYGTGCAGGGTGCTCCATGCAGGGCGCTGCATGCAGTGCTCAGCCCCCTCGTGCAGGATGCTCCATGGTGGGCGCCCCRTGCACAAGCCGGGGTGCTCAGCACGGCACCCCCTCCCCATGCAAGCATCCTGTGAGCTTGTTCCCTCGCTCCCCGCCACCTGCGCAATAACCGCCCGAAACGCAGCACTCCCCCTGCAGCCAACACCTTTATTGAGCCCCCGCGGTGGCGGGCGGGGGGCTAGTGCAGCTTGCAGCGCACCGGGTAGAGCAGCGCCATGTGCTCGGCGCCCTTGAAGGGCAGCTTGGCGGTGGAGTAGTGGTGCACGACCTCGGGCACGCTGCCGAAGACGCCGCTCGCCTGGCTCAGCGTGAACTTGTGGTCCTTGGTCTGCGCCACGATGATGTGGACGCAGCCCTGGCTGGTCCTGCGGCGGCGGCGTCAGCGGGGACCCGGCGCCGCGGGGACGTCCCCCTGCTGTCCCCCACCCCCCCGGCTCCTCCCGCTTTATTTGTTCCCAGCTCCCTGCTCCGATTGTTTCGGCTCCAGGGGCTCCGCTTCCTCAGGAAGGAAACGCCGCCGGCGCTGCCGACAATGCGGCCGCYGCAGGACGCCTGGGCCCCCTCCCGCCCCGGGGTGGGGGCACCGCGTTCTCCTCCATCCACCCCAAAAACCGCTGCTCCCGTGGGCTGCAGCCCCCCCGGCAGGCAGGGACCCCCCCGGACTCACTTGAGCGCGATGGAGTATTTGCCGCTGCCGCTCTCGCTGGTGCGCACCAGGTAGCCGGCCTCGCGGCACTGCTGCAGGCGGCTCTCGGCCTCGGCCCGCGTGATGGCCCCGTGGTACCAGCTGCAGGGCCGGGGGCTCAGCGGTGCTCGGGGCACCCTGTTGTGCCCCCCCTGGCCACGGTGACGTCCCCGTCCCCACTCACGGCTGCTTCTCCAGCGCCACGGCCGGGTCCACGCGCTCGCCCTCGCCGCCCTCCGCCGCCTTCAGCATCTTGGCGCTCCAGCTCTTCTGCCGCAGGTGCTGCCGCGCCGGCGCCGCCGCCTCCTCCTTGGGCCGCTCCGAGCCCTCGAATTGCACTGRCGGGGGGGGAACACCCGCAAACAGGGGCGGCGTCACCCGCCGTCCCCCCCACACACCCTCCGTCCCCGGGGGGTCGCCCCTTACCCGCCAGCGCCTTCACGATCTGCTCCTTCTTCCACTCCCAGGGCTGCTCGTACTCGGCCGGGGGCCGCTCGTCGTCGCGGGGCAGCCGCCCCTCGCCCCCCTCGTAGGGGGTGTCGTAGAGCTGGGGGCCCTTGGGGGCCTCCTTGGGCGCGGGGCGCTTGGCGGCCTCCCCCTTGTCGGCGGCCTCGCCAGGTCCGTCCAGCAGCAGCAGGGCCTTCACCAGCGGGTCCTTGGAGCCGCGGCGGCGGATTTCTGAGGGGGGGACGGGCAGTTTCATGGGGAGGGGGGTATCCCCTGGGGGGGTCCCCAGCAGAACCCCCCCCCGGGCTCCTCCACCGCCCCGCRCACAAACAGCCCCGTGCGGAAAATCCCCATCAGCAGCAAATCTTTTCTTTCCAGCATCCGGCCGCCCGGCTTCCTGTTATTCCCTCCAGCTGGGCGGCTGTGGCGGCGGCTCCTGGTGCCCCCCCGGGCCTGTCCCCTCCTCCCGCKGCACCCTGGACACCCCACGAGGGGGGGGGACCCCCCCGACCTGTGATCATCTGCTGGGCGTCATAGGGCTCCATGTAGCCGTCGTTCTCGCCCAGGCGCTCGGCCTCCCGCTGCCCCTTGGTGCGCTTGGCGTCATAGGGGTCCGCGTAGTCCTCCACGATGATGACCTGCCCGTGGGGAGCAGGGAAATAATACAATAATATTAATATTTTAGGCTTTATAAGGATAAATATTAGCCTTAYATAGGCTAAAAGTTTATTAGGCTTATAAAGGCTAAAACCCCTCCTGTTTTGCCTTCCCACGCAGCGGGAGCTGCAGCACAAGGGCAGCCTCCCCGGTGCCACCGAGCACCCCGTCCCCRTCCCTGCCGTTACCGTCTCGGCCTTGGGGCTCCTGCCCTTGTCGGGCTCGGCGCCGGGCGGCCCGTAGCCCTTCCCGTTCTTCTCCTGGGCGTCCACCTTGATGAGGCGGTTGATGTAGGCGCCGGTGGCGGCGGCGGCGCCTTTGCCGGGGGGCTGCTCGGCGGGGCCCCCGTCGGCCCGCGAGTTCTTGCGCATCCTCCCGGCCGCCGC